TGTTTGCTTTTATCTATAGACAGAAAGTAGAACCAAATTTAACCACATGCTCTGTAACATTAGTTGATGATTCATGCAAAGTTTAATGATCTACAGCCATCCTCAGATGGTCATTCTGCTGCATGCTCACCTACAGACACCCAGTACAGACTGTCAGTCTCACTAGATGCAGCTCCTGCTTTATTTTAGTATAATTTCAATGAGGACATCAGCTTTGGTTCATTGTTTTAGTTTGCAGGGGTTTATAGTAATAAAACTTTCTGAAATGATTTATATTCACACATTTGTGTTTGTTACCAGAGACACAGGATCAAAGTATGTTAATGACATCACAGTTAAGCCCTGCAATGGACAGGCACCCTGTGTAGATACAGTCCTGCCTGATGCCCCATGTCTGCTGAGATGCCCTCTACAGGATAAGTAGCTGCAAACATGGATCCACTGATGTCATCAAAACTACTAGAAATGACAGAGCAGATGCTACACTTACCTCCCCTTATTAAATGCCTGACAGATAAAGCACCAGTAAGTAGGACTGCAGGTGTGACAGCGATGCAGAGCCCCAGAATCAGCCAATGCAGGGAGGAATAACCTAAAATATTCAGAATTACATTCCATTAGTCATTTTCTAAAATAGGCTGCTTGTCATGCTGCAACACAATCGACACGTCCACACCATTTAGTCTCACAAAGTGGAGCAGAAATTTATGGTTAAATCTTTGTCTATAAGTCCTAACTGTTCTCCAGCCTGAAAACAAACATATTGAATACATAAGATTTTTCATATTCCCATAAATGATTTGGATATATTTACACAACATGTTCCAAAGGGCTTTTTAACTGAACACAGCAAATGTGCCAGTGTTAAATTAACACTGCATGATGTTTATATGTTGTCCTACCATTCAGTGTTACCTTTAACACTTTACAGTATGCAGTGAGTGTTGTTTTTACAATGTTAATGTTAATGATCCTCATGACTTGTGCGCATATTAAAATGGGGCAGATGTGTGGAGGTGGAGACTCATTGACTTAACACCCTATGGTGTAAATTGAACACTATTGGAATTTAATAAAGATTAACACTGTTTAAAACAACATTCATGCACACTGTAGAGTGTTAAAGGTAACACTGAATGGTGTGGACCCACATAGACACCATGCAGTGTTAATTTAATACTGGCACATTTGCTGTGTAATAAAATATATGTTACGACAGAGCTGAAAACTGCACAAAAACTGAAGCCTGAAACAAATAATAATTCATTCATTTAATGCATTTTGTGTTTTAAAGCTGTACTCAATTTCACCATTTCTACTGTTACACTGAGCAGATTANAGCCTGAAACAAATAATAATTCATTCATTTAATGCATTTTGTGTTTTAAAGCTGTACTCAATTTCACCATTTCTACTGTTACACTGAGCAGATTAAACTCTATGGCATGTGCATAAAGATCAGTGTGCAACAGAACCACTGAGGCTTAGTGAAATGAAAATGTGATTTAATCACACAGAACTATGCTGAGATGCATGTTAAAACCAATCCTTCCAGTGACTCACCCAGTGCTGCTATCCTGGCTGTTGTATTGGCAGAATCAGTATCTGAGTGGACTTCACACCTGAACTCTCCTTTGTCTTCAGTCCTGACTTTCCTCAGTTTCATTGAGAAGATTCCTTTGGGAATTTCCTCAGTGAAGAATTCAGCTCTTCCAGAGTATCTCTCATCCTGTGACTCTGGTCTGTTCTCTCCATAATCATACAGAAGCACCAAGATGTCACCGTCATCGTCTGTCTTTCTCCATTCCACCTGAAGCTCTGTCACATTAACATGAGTGTCCAAAGAGCAGCTGAGAGTCACATCCTCTCCAGCATGTGCATAGACAGGCTCATCTGCACCTGTCACCACCAGCCGCTCTGGAACAAGAACAGGAAGATTCACACAACCTGGCAACCTAACATTTGTGTGTTTTCCCCTCCTATTTAAAGGGGAAACTTATATGTTTGGGGTTGTTTTCATTTCAACATGTATCATTTTTAAAACTTGGCATATGTGAGAAGAATCCAGCACCACACTAAGTTTGTAGCAGTTTTGTTACTCAAAAATGTTCTGAGGGCAGAATGAAAAGAGATTGGTTCAGAGAGATAACCAATCAGACTGTAGAGGAGGTGGCTCTGAGACATGTGACTGGTTGGTCATGCTTACTTTAGTTGCTTGGAACCACCTTCTATACAATCTGAGCGACAATGAGTGACAATCGCTGCAAAAGAAGAAGCATAGAGTTCCATCGTGTGTTGATCCCAATTTTTCCCTCACAAAAGCAGATGGTTTTGGGCTTCGTTTAACCCGGTTCCACAAAGCAAACGGCTTTGCAAAAACAGCCCTTCACACTGTTTTGTATTGTCTTTCAGTTACCTTTTACCACGGCTACTGTTAGATTGTATACCTAATTTTATTGAATGAAAGTGATTCATTTGGATTAATTAGACATGAAAAAAATGAGTGAGATTAATTCAACTATATTCTGTTCTCAGAACACAAAGTCAATGCATCCACTTAAAAAGAGTGTTTCATTTTCAAAATACATAATTCAACTGAGCTCATTCAAAGTAACTTTTTTCAGTGGGGTTGGTTGACAAAACTTTGGTCTGGATTTGTACTTTCAGGTAGAGGTCTGCAACGGGGCGGGACGTGGCACAGAAGCATGCGGAGAGGGTCTACATTTGAGAGTTTCTTGCAGGAGCGGGATGAAGAATCAGTCCCGCGCAGACCTCTATCTGGGATGCCGGCAGAATGGAAGGGCAATGAGCGCACTGACTGAGGTTGGAATAAACGCAGAGCCGTGCCACAAATTTCAGTGTTTCCCTATATTTCTCTCATTTTGACTGTGAAATGTTTCTATTGAGACTGTTTAGATATTTTTAATTCAGGTCTGTAGCCTAGTTAGAAACGTTGTTGGTTGTATTTTTTTGTGGAAAACTGGTTAGCCAAATCTACCTTTATATAAAAGACATCTTTAATTCGCAGCCAGAGTCGTGCCCACATAATATAGCCTATGTTTCATAAATTCCTGTATGTCAGTTAGGTAACAAATAAATTTGGTACCTTATTTAATTTTTATGAGACAAGATATTATAGCCTTTAAAATTTTTGGCCCACCCTATACTCCAGCAGCCTTGCTTGCAGGATTCAGCAGGCGGGAGCGGGACAAACCATAACAGATGCGGGCGGGAGCGGGACAAACCATAACAGATGCGGGCGGGAGCGGGACAAACCATAACAGATGCGGGCGGGGGCGGGACAAACCATAACAGATGCGGGCGGGAGCAGGTCAAAATATTACACATTTCTGCGGGAGCGGGACAGAAAGTTGGGGGAGTGTGCGGGAGCAGGATGAAAAATCAGTCCCGCGCAGACCTCTACTTTCAGGACATGAACTTCCCACCTCTGTCTGTAATGCGTTACTTTTATGTGTAACTTCCCTGATACTACATTGACAGTTAGGCAAACGTGAATTAGCTGGGATTTATTCACATTGTCTATATGCTAAATTGCAGTAATTAGATGCTGCTTTCACTATAAGAAATGATTAATGCATCAAAAACATTTCATTTTAATGACACATAATGAGGATTTTGCTACCAAATAATAGCAGTGGTGGTCTAATGGGTATGGCTGTGTGTTTGTGATTGGAAGGTTGCTGGTTTCAATCCCCAGCCAGCATGGTACCGTTCCCATGCACTGCTCACTGGGTGCTAAATAATAGTGGCTCACCGCTGTGTTAAATGCTGAGGACACGTTTCATTGTGGTGCCAACAATGGCAATTTTTCACTTCAGTAGTATTGTTTGGTATTTTCAGTGAAACTGAATGGGATTCAATGGACGATAAGTGACCATTTTTCCTAAATCAGGTTCTAACCCGAGTTACTATTGTTACCAAACAGCTAAGTGCTGGGGAGCATCAAAGCAAAGGAAGGCAGCAGACTGAACAAACTCATTAGGGAGGCTGAGTCTGTTGTCGGCTCCAAGCCTGTCAGTGTGGGGGAGGGGGCCAGGGGCAGAATACTGGCGAAGCTGCTGGCAGTTATGGGCAATACCTCTCACCCCCCCATAAAACACTAGAGAAACTCAAGAGTAGCTTCACCAACTGACTCATTTAACCTGCTGCATTAAGGAACGATACAGGAAATCATTCCTTCCCAGTGCTATTAGACTCTATTACTCAACTGCCCATGACACACCTGAGGTGACCAAACTAGACTAGTTATGTCTACTGGCTGTACCTTGCAACTAACCATTAACCCTAACCCTAACCCTAACCCTAACCCTGCATATCCTAATTGCATCTTTGCACCTTGTCTATTGTAGTATCCAATTTCAGTATTTTACTGTATCCTATTTTATTTATTCTCATTTTATTCTTTTATTGTATTGCAATTTAATTGTTTAATTTAAATATTTCTGCTATGACAACTTAATTTCCATCTGGGGATTAATAACGTTATCCATCCATCCACCCATCTAAGGCAGGATCTGCAAGTTAGGAAGTTTCTGTAATGCGGCCCTTGGAGGGAACAGACAAAACACGGTTATAAATGACAATTCAATCGAGTACGCCAGATCGATCTTTTGTGACTTTGTTTGCGATGTAACCAATTAGGTGTTAGGTTTTATTTTGAGCCAGTCCACTGAGTTCGATGGGTGATGTTGACACATCATTTTAATGGTTGCTGGTATCATTTAAATACAGTGGTACCTCGGTTATCAAACTCACTAGACCTCTAATTTCTTGAAAGTCGAAAAATCCAGTTTGACCTAGAACTTGATCTGAATATTAGAAGTTGAACCGTGAACGCTGACCTAATATAAATTGTACATGCTAGGAAATGGAGTTATTACTTGAATGCCTCCTTCACAGACCGGTGTTCTGTTGATGTATGCTGCCTTGTCGAAAAATGCTATCGTAGTGCTAATCGATAGCCCTAACCCTAACTCTTACCCTAACCCTAACCCCGCAAAACCCCTAAAACCCTTACCTTAACCCTAACCCTAACCCCTAAAACCTAACCCTAATCCCAAGACGGTAGAACTGCACATGTGCAGAAATGCTCGATAGAACGTCTCGATAGGTAGTATTTTATGACAGAACACCGGACGATTAACCAAATAAAGCAGCGCAATATTACAGTAACTAACAATAATAAACCACTAACTTATGTGTACTATTAGAGCATTTATGTAATTTATTTAAACCTTATTTTACCAGGTAAATTAACTGAAAACCAGTTCTCACTGCTTTACGTGATATTCGGGAGAAATAGCAGATTACGCATCGGAACTGCCTGGGATACAAACGTCATGCGTGCAACTAAACTCTTCAGCCAATAAGGGCAAAGGTGTGTTGTCACGGAGGCGGTTCCAGTTTGTGCAGCCGGGTGAGAGGTCGCAATGCATCTAACCGTAATGCATTGCGTCAGGATCAGAATGCGTTGCTTTAAGCCAGCGCTGTAAACAAGTCGAACGCCCCCAATGACCAGACTGGGGAGACAAACTGAAACGCGGACTTAATACAGAGGACTAATGACAACAACCAGAAACAGCTGATCACATGGGGATTCCACACGGGGTTAATGAGGGGGCGTGGCACTCGGAAGGAGCGGACGATCGGGGCAGGACAGGGGTAATGTTGGGATAAGATCTTTATCGTTTTGGAAGCCATTAAGGAAAAAATGCTCTTCTTGTTTTATCCTGTTCATTCTGTGTTTAAATGCTAAAAAAAAATTTAGTTGCAATTTTGGGGGGCCGGGAACCAATTAATTGATTTTCCATTATTTCTTATGGGAAAAATTTGATCAGAACTCGAACTTTTTAGGATTCGATCCGGAGTCCGGAATGGATTAAGCAGGCAGGAAAGAAATTTGGGTGGGCATTGTCTCCCCCTGCCCACTTCTAGATCAATCCGTGCTACCAATTCTGAAGTATCTGTCCGTCTCTATAGCTTACTATTCCGTAGAAAAACAAAAATATTCTTCAACCTTACTAAACATGAACCAAACACTGTAACCCTGTGAGATTTATCTCCTTCTAACTGTTTCACCTCAGAGAGCTTAATAAACATCAAGATAGCAGCATCATCTCTTAACATCTGCCTTACCATAGCATTTCCCTGCAGCTCCACGAAAACACCAATCATTCATTAGCCTACAAAAACAGACCCCAACAAAATCTATTCCAACGACAATTTAGTTGATTAGAATTTACTAAGATTTCTTATACTTGCCTCCCACTAAACATTGGACGTCGGATAGGCGTGCAGATCAT